GCTAATGATTATTAGGAGTGGTTCTTGCGCATAAGGTGCTCCATTCGAATAAGTCTTCAGCTTTTTTTTTTCATTTAGCAACGGCATTGATTGATGGAATTGAGGAAATTGAGTTTTTGTAAGCATACCAATTGTTAAAATTGTAAAAGGACAGTTAGGTAAAGTTATTCTTTTCTTACACTTTTAAGAAAACACTGGTTTTTTGAGCTAAAAGGTGCATAGATATCTATTGGAGAATCAATCTCTCCAGAGAGTGGCTGCGGTGTAAAAAAAAACTGGTAGCAATGGCCCTGTGAGGCTTATAAGTTCCAGTTGATCCACGTAGTTCTTATTTTTAGAAAAGCTAGGATTGCTCCTTTATTGGGTTTTTTACAGGCTCTTAGAAAGGGGCCGAAACCTCCAAAAACATATAATCCCATTAATGCACCTGGTGATAGAAATTCAGGGCTTTCGTGATTGTAACTAGAATTTTGTACTAAAAATCCAGAAATTATTGGTAATGTAAAAATTGCATTTCAGTGGAGCCACAACTCATGCTCACTTACGGCGGCGCCGCTATGCCTCCCATGGGTTACGCACCACCGAACCCGTATGTTCAACCCCAATACGTCCCACAGCCGCCACATCCTGGAGCCCCTGGTCCTTTCATGTAGATGACATCCATATTAGCGTGCCATTGATCAGCGCCAGCCGCGTGTTCGAATACACGTCCTGTCCCCCTAAATTAGGTTTGAGAAGGTGGAGGAAAGAGCGCACAAATGCGGCAGCTGCGGCGTGTGGTGCTCTCTTTGTTTATGTGTATCCAGGTTGATCGTGCTACGTTCGAATTCCCCCCTCAGTAGTTTTGAAGTTTCTTCTCTAATAGAGGCGTCCTCCCTCTCTTTGTGTGTAAATTACCAGTTCTATGTGATCGATTTTCTTCCGTTGTTCGTACATTGTGCATGTATCAAAAGGTTAGTGATCAAGAAAAATCTTGTCTAGTTATGTTTCCATCACGATTTATACCAAGTCGTTCCAAATATATCTATTTATTATTGTTATTCGCGATTACTCTTTTATCTTATTTTTCTAATAAATTATTAGTATTCCAAGTGTGGAATTCGACACATGTGGTTAGAAGCCGCCTCTACTTTTAAACAATGTTATGTATTCGTGGATGCATCACGTTACGGTCGAGATAGCCTTCATTTGCAATCTGTTATTTTTCCGTTAGCTTGGGGCGGCTCTGATGCGAGAATTCTTGAATCATTATTTCTTATATCGGGTGGCATGACACTTTGTTTTCCACTTCTCTAAATGGGACTACTATCGAGAAAAAGGGGATAATCCTCAATGTGTTATTTATTCTCTAATACCGTACGCAAGGTTTACTATATGGAATTAGGTCGTACATACATGAAGCTAGGAAAATTTGTATGTGCATATTCGATATGGAAGTGCATTACTGCTCAGTTGCCTTGAGCTCTACCAGTCGAAGTGTCTTTTGATCAGGCGATTGCTCGTGTTGCCTTTCGTATGCTAAACGATGCTTATCTGTCCTGAACTATGTTTATTAACTATACTGTGTTAAGGCAAAAAGCACATGAGAAGTTCTGCTAAGTTTGCTTCTTGGGTCACAGAATGAAAAGGCTTCATTTTTTTCCGAACAGGGCACCATTCCCATGTTTGACTGATCTTCTTTCTTTATTTTTTTTTCAAAAATCTATTCAGCATCGATGAGTTAGGTTTTCGTCAAATTTATCTCGGTTTTTGTTAACTATCGTAAACATCATTTCAGTAAATCTAATGTATTAGGGAAAATAGGCGTTTTATATGGATATAAAGCATCTTATTTCAAAGCTCTTTCGAGATATACTTTTGCATAATAAACCGCAGCTGTAACAATCTCAACAACGACAATAAATTTATAAGTAAATTCAAGTGGAGGCTATTATTACGTCTTTTCTCCACTGCAAATCAATTTAGGCCGGGTATGAATCTTAGATGGGATGTGTGGTGAATATTATGCAGGCTCGCGGTCAGCATCCTTTATTCTCTTCATGCTTGCATAGGCTCCAAATTCATACTTTGGAAGCAGTAGCATACGCATCCGCATTCTTGGGATGCACTGCATTGCCTTCTTTTAGCTCTTATGGTCATTGAAGCAAGATACATGCGCTGTCTTGATTCGACGATATTCTCTAAGACTTGATATGTTTTGTATCATGGTGCTGGATGCTTCAAACTATCTTCCTGGTTTCTTTTCGCTTTTCGAAATGTTCAACTTCTTTCAAAGGCTTGTAGGCTTGTCGCATACTGTTATGTATCAACAAATTCTAGTGTTTGGTAAGATAAAATTCTGACATTATGAACTAAAAGCCATTTGTGTTGCTTAGGATACGGCTTTTCACTACTATCCTATTTAACCTGTACACTTTGTACGAATCGGTTAGTCTCTGTGCAGCAGTCCCGTCAAATTAATCTTGGATTGAAGCGCTTTCTCTACAGAAAATGCCATTTTTTGTTCTTGAGAAATGTTTACATCGTTGCCATAGTTTCCCCACATATAAACCCTGGCCAGATTGCACCTTGAATGTTAGAATAGAGATGTTGAGTTGTTGCGTGCTTGCAATGCGCATGTCCTTCGATGACTCATAGCCCTTTTTTCCTAAAATCAAGTGAATTCCATCTTTCGTAATCGGTTGCTCTAATGCGCATGGAATGTGGGAATGTTATCCAAGTTGTGTTAAAACATTTATAAGTAAAATCTCTATTTCGGGTTTCGAAGTATTCTCATCCCGTTCGATGACTCACAAGTTCATTTTTAAAATCAAGTGAAGTTTCCATCTTTTGTAATCGGTTGCTCTATTGCGCATGGAACGTGGAAAATGCATCCAAGTTGTGTTAAACATCTACGATTAAATTTTCTGTTTTGGGTTTCAAAGTCTCAT